CGACGTACCGACCGTACCGACGCACCGACGACGACGACGCACGACACGACGACGACGACGACGACGACGCACGCACGCACGCACGCACACCAGCCACCACCACCACCACACAGCAGCAGCAGCAGCAGCAGCAGCAGCAGCAGCACCACCATCGCCACTCACACATACAGCACAGAGCGAGGGCTACTGTAGGGCCCCGCGCGGCTGTACACGTCGACGGCGCGCACCGAGAAGTGGTACGTGTTGTTGTCGGAGAACTGCGTCAGCGTGCACGCCATCGGCAGCGGCAGCGCCTTCACGTCCGAGATCTTCTTCCACAGCGACGTGCTCGGCGGCGACGCGCCCTCCTGGTAGGCGAACAGCTGGTAGGAGGCGATGTCGGCGTACGTGCCCGACTTCATGTTCATGTCCCACGAGATGACGAGACCTGCGCAGCAGAGAGGGCGGTGAGCGACGCTCGTGAGGATCAGGATGCGGACGGTTACCGCGGCGACTGATGGACGGACGCGAAGGTCGGAAGCATTTGTGCGCGTAGCGGAAAGAGGGGTGGGGGGAAGTTGGTCTCACACGCGGCTGCGTCCTTTCACGACAGGGCCTCGTAGTCTGATTTAAACAGAAAATGTAAATGTGCGTGCGGCACTATGCGTTTCGTAAACAAGAATTGGTGCCCCTTTGAAAAAAAATCCGTTTTCAACGTAGTTTGTTTTTGGTGGGGTTTTCAAATGGCTAAATTATTATAGATCGGGGTGTACGTAAATCAGGAAGACTTGCTAATAACCGACGGTTGATGCGGTAACAATGAAATGTAGGCAGTAGTTTTGTCTGCTATAAAGAACGGGAAACGTCTCCGATGTGGTAACCGTTAACGTCTGTCCGTTTTTGCGGTAACCGTTCACGTCTGTCCGTTTTCGCGGTAACCGTTCACGTCTGTCTATCAGTTGTCACGGTAACCGTTCGCGTCCGTCCATCAGTCGTCATGGTAACCATTCGTGTCCGGCCATCAGCCGTCACGGTAACCGTTCGCGTCCGTCCATCAGTCGTCATGGTAACCGTTTGTGTCCGTCCATCAGTCGTCGCGGTAACCAGGCGTTTCGTCGTCCGCTAGTCACCTGTGGTCACTTTCGATATGGTCAGCCAGGGCTTCGGCGGCGAACACTTGCCCACGTTCGCTGCGACGGTGGTGGGCTGAGGCGGTAACGGCGCAGGGTGCTTGGAACTTTGACTGGCGGCGTTCTGTTGCGAATAAAAGTCAGAACGCATTAGCCAACTCTCTTCCTCCCTCTATCTCTCTGTCGCACACACACACACACACACACACACGCGCACTCACGCATGCACGCACGCACGCACGCACACACACACACACACACACACCCTCTCTCCTTTCGCCTGCCCTCTCTCTCTCTCTCTCTCTCTCG